TCGTGTTTCACATTTTTAATCCCGCAAGGGATTGCGCTAACAGCTTTACTAAATTATGAGTAGATACACAATCAACATCGTAAATCTAAATAAAAGATCATAAACATTATAAAAAAAAAAAGATTGTTAATCTTACACGACCAATGTGATCAAAAATTGCATAATGATCGACTCGTATTACTTTTGAACATTTATTACATATATGCTGGACAAGGACTTGAGCTAGCACGCCTTCTTAAAATAAATTTTCTAACTTTTTATTTAAATTTTTTTTCCTTACGTCCTGTAGTAATTCCTTCATAAAATTTTTCTTCTTTAAGTTCAAGGGCGCATTTTTCACAAAGACCTAATTCGCCTTCTGGATTGCATCTTGAACATATAACCCCTTGTTTTTCTGCCATTGTTAGACAAGATGAAAATTCACTAGATGAAAATTCAATAGATGAAAATTTGTGAAATGTGACTATCGAGCAAAAAGAAAAACAATTTATAGGATAATTCGTCTAGATGGACGGCAGAACGCAAGAGGAAGATATATAATCTTACAATAATAGTCTATCGTCTTACAGAATAAAACAAAAAAGTTATATAAGTGATGAAAATTTCAGTCTTCGATCTTCTGCTATTTAGAAGAAATTTACATTATTCTGCAAAATGTAGTATGACACTTTTTCTATTGATATTTCTAGTTGAATCGATCCGAAAATATTTTTTCCAAGTTTAAGGTAATTCAGTTGAATGCTGTAACCAAATTTGAGTGCATTTACAGACTATTCGTATTGACTCATTTCTCATTCAACGGTGAAAAATGATTTGAGGTTTTTCAATAAGGAAAGTCAATTTTATTATTAAATTAAGCGACAACTAAACTATACACGATGTATTTCTCTTAATATACAATGACGTGTTGGGAAACTTTTGCCATTTAACACATGAGTCGCAATTCATTCATGTATAATATATATAGAACATTGACTTTTGCTAAAGCAATTATATACATGTGAGTATCTTCAAATGATGGACAGCAACGATAAAGAAGAGTTTCTCTATTGCTCTTGTTGTTGTTGAGTAAAAATATCTATTCCTTGTTTTTTAATCTTTAACTTCTTCTCCTAAAAGAAAATTGATTTTGAGATGAAAACATAGTGCGATTTTCTGATAATGCCTTCTTCAAAATTCAATTTTCAGCTGAGTACATACGAGCTAACAGAAACTCTGTGGACATATTGGATATATCTAATCATATGAAAAAGAATTTCGATCTTAATTCTCTTCACCTATCCGAACTATAATAAATTTAGTATCTTCATGCTCATTCCATGATCTCAAATGATACAAACAATTTTCTTTCTATTAAAAAAAAAACAAGACATTTGAGCTAATATTTCTAGAGCGTTATTTTTGATATTGTTCTTTGTTAATGGTTTGAGACGTACATTACTAGAGTTGAGTAAGTGCGGACTTTCTCAAGCACAAGTACGTAAGAGTGAATTTTCTAAGCAGAAGCATGATTAAAGATTTTTGAATTTGAGGCTTGTTTTTTCTTCCTAATCCAAAGTGTTACTCAAAATCTTGCATCAATAGAAGTGAAAAGAACAGATGGAAGTTTTACAATTCATCAGAAAATAAATCTAATCATTGTAGTTTTTCAAAAACACATAACTAACTTCTTCCATTCTGTTGAATTTAACGTTTCGTTTAAGATATTCTCAACAGAACAATGAATGCAACGTTAGATGATGATATAATCATCATTTACTTATCAAATATAGGTCTATATCTTATGCGTTATGTCCTTATGATTATAATTATTCTTGGTCTTGTTGGAAACTTCTTCAATATACTTGTTTTTCATCAACCTACATTTCGTTCAAATCCATGTTCATTTTATTTAATTACAGCTGCTTATGTTAATATTATTTGGATTATGACGAGTCCATTATCACGAATACTTGCTACTTTTCAACTTGATTTATCAGAAAATATTAGTATTATTTGTAAAATACGTCGATCTCTTTCTTATACATTTTCAAGCTTATCAATGATTTCTATTGCTTTTGGTACAGTTGATAGATTTATTATTAATAGTTCACAAATTGAATATCGTCAATTAAGTTCATTACATAATGCTCATCGTTTGATGATAATTACTGCTTTTATTTGTTGGCTTATATTTGTTGATATGATTTATTGTCTTGATGTAATTGTTACACCTCCATCAATAGCATGTACAATAAATACAAGACGTATATGTGATCTTTATAATGAAATAGCTCGTTTAATAGTACTTGTATTTATACCAAGTATGTTGATTTTAATTTTTGGTTATGGAACAATACAACATGTAAAGACAAGTCGACGAATGAGTAGACTAGAAGGAAACACTATTCATCGAATTGATCGACATCTTACTCAAGTAAGAAAATCATATATTAAGTTGCTAAAAAAAAACAAATAAATAAATTCCTATCATATGTATATTATTTTCTAGATGGTAATTGGAGAAATTATTTTAATTATGATATCATATATTCCAAATACAATTCAACGTATTTATTTAGTTCTTACACTTGATATAGAAAAAAATCCATTACGTTTAAGAATAGAAATACTTTCTGGTGAAGTAACATTTCTGATGACAACATTTCAAAGTTCATTATCGTTTTATATTTATGCAACGATGGGTGGAACTCTTTTTCGACAAACTTTTAAAAAATTGTTGTGATGTATGTTTAAGAGAAAATATTCTGTCAAATGGCAAAAGTGTGCAGCAAAATTTTGAACTTTGTCAGAGTGACGAATGAAGATTTTGACTCATTGTAAAAATAAACTTGTGATAAGAAGAACAGATTCAAAGAACTATAAATTCACACGTTTTTACTTAAAAAGACGTTAAAAAAACGCATCTGTTATGTAAATTTGTTTTTTATAAAATCATTTTTTTTTAACATCATAAATAAATATTTAATATCTCAATGCATTATTTCGTCCTAGATAGAAGGTTTTTTTTGTGAGTTTGGCAAATAGTCTTTACTATTTAGTTATATTTTTTTTAGGTATGATGATAGCCTATATATGCCGGTTCCTAATCTTAAAAGTGACTTACAACTGTGGATGGATTACTATTGGTGCCCATGGACAGATGTATGAAAAGCTACGATTTGTATTTTTAATAGATTTTCTATTATGTTTTCCTTTTAACAAAAATAAATAAGGAAGTAGCACAATGTGAAGCTGCAAAATATATTGTTAAACTAAATGAAGAAGATTTATCTAGTTTAAATAAGAATAAAAGTAACTCAAAAATCAGAACATTTTCACAATTTTTAACAAGCAATTACATATTGAAGATTAGATACCTTATTTCAATTTACAGGAAATTCATTTCAACTTCCGGAAACTCTGTTAGCTTTCGGGTTATAAAGATATGATAGGTAAAAGAGATATAGGAGATATAGGAGTGTCGCTTTAGGTCGACAAGCCGTAAAACGAACAGCTGATAGAGTTTATCCACGATTATTAAATAAATTTAATTATTCCTAATGGAAATGATCAATCTTTATAAAATACATAAAGTTTAACTTTTTCTCGAATAAATCCTAAAGAATTAGTTAATCAATAAAGTAATCGATTAGCTTTTATCAAGAGGTAGTGTCGCTCATCAAGATAATCAACAACACTTCAACCTATTGGTAAGATTAAGACGTTTTTTTTTCTTTTTTTATTCAATTAACTAGATGCGACTAGATAGATTTTCATTTTCATTTCAACAATCAATCAATCAATTACTTTAAAATATTTTGTTAATTATATATTAACTGCGGTATATGAACAAGAATAATCGATGGAGAGATAAATATTTAAACGATAGAATTCTTAATAATCACTGAAGTTAACTGCATAGAAGAAACGTTTAAATTATATTTCAAATAGTAATATGTTGATTTATCGGTTTTGTTTTCGATTGAAAAGTCTTTGATGTAAATAATCAATAAGTACTATTCGATTAACTAGAAGTTATATGATAATAGATTATGATGATATTGATCAATCTATTATTATTATTACAAATGTTATTCAATAACAACTTTTTTCTTCTTTGATTAATCAATAATAATATTATTTTATCTCTTTGTTAAAATAAACGTTAACTAATAATTATGTTTTTCACAGTAAAATATCTTCTGAGTGAATAAAAAATATCTATTGTTAAATTATCAACTAGAAAACTAATCTAATTTATCTTAGTAATAAATAAAGTAGAAGATGAATATAGGAATGAAAAAAGAAAAAAGAAAAAAGCGAAAAATGACATAGATCAGTTGAATATGATAAAGATAAATATATTCATAATCAGTTAGATTTCAATTGAAACAAAATTCAAATATTCTTTTTTCTTCACTATAAAACGATCATTCATCATAAACTCATTTTTTATTAATCTAAAACTTTTTAATTAAATTCAACCTTCACTTTTCAAATATATATATAGATTTTAGTCATTGACATCACTCTATCACCTAGAATAAAACAATAACGATCAGAATATTTATTCATCTGAAAATTCTATGAAAATCTACATCCACCCACAATTCCGACTGGTTTATTCGACATTTAGATCACGTTCGAATTAAAATAATCGACTCAAAAAAAAACGATCCATACTGAAAATGTATCAGCCGGAAAGGGCATATATTATGAAATACATTAAAAAAAAACTATCGTTCGTATATGAGATGATGCGTCTAACGACGAATGATTTCAATATTGCCTTAAATATCTATTATTATAATAAAATATAAGATTTATAAAATAATTTCTTCCAAGAAGAATAAAATCTCGTGTTATAGAAATCATATTGATTTTATCATTATTCTCTATTGAATTTATTTCTCACCATTGAATAAATCAACCGAAATATATTTTCTAAAAGATTTATAATCTTTATAATGATAATCATCTTAGAATTATTTCAAATATTCTTAATTCAATCGATAGAAAAACGGAAGATTATTTATATCGACAATATTTATCATATCATCATTTTTTAAAGTTCAACCTTTATTTACCTCATTATAATAATCATTTGTGAGTTTCGACGAATATCATCTTCATTTGTTATAGGTCTAGTGGATAATTCATTTTACTGATTTAACGTCAACGGGAGCCAGATTTTTCCTAGAAATATTTGACACCTACATTATTCTACATTCCCATGTCTTTCATCCCGGCAGTTTCTCGTCGGGATCTCGCGGGATCCCACAAAAAATTTCGGGATCCCGACAGGAAATTACTGTTATATCAGTGCCTTGAGAAACCAAAGACAGTGGATCAACTCTCAACTTCATCCTTTTTTTTTGTTTTTTTGCCTTATTGTTGAATTTGAGCACTGTGATATCGTGCTGAATCCAGTTGATTATTCACTAATTTTTATATTTTTTTTACATGTTCAAAGCGTATAATAAGCAAGAAAGTGGAGAAATAAGAGAAGAAAAAAAAAAGGTTTTATCACATTAATCATATAAGAAAAGCAAAAATACAAAAAATAAATTAGTTGAGATCACATCAGTCATGTTGATATGTACATGTTCTCGTAAAAAAAATATATGGTGTTAGGTTTGTGTTGATGAATTTGTTCGAACTGTAGTTCGTTGTTTTTTTAAACCTTTTTTAATATCCCGACGTTTGTTTAAAAATGTTTCATCTAAATTACACCATTCAATTTTAAAAATATCACCTGATAATCGAAATTTATTTCGTACAGCTTCTAAAAAAGAGATGTGATAAGCAATATATGAGATTATTTGTGCTAAACAAACAAGATAAAATAAATTCTTAGTCAAACCTTATATTAATTTATAACCATCATTAAATTTAATTTTCGTTGCATCAATTTGCAATAATTCTACACGTGTAAAAACAATATAAATTAATGATGTTACATATAAATTCATCTTTTGTTTAACACCAGTTATTGATAATAAATCAACATCATTTCCATCGTTGGGATTTTTATACATCTAAAAAATGAAAA